TGATAAGCATTCACTGCATTTTTACCTATGCAATTCTTCCTAGAAACCAAAAGCTTCTAGGCCTCTTCTGTCTTAATAGGGTTAGCTAATGCAAATTATGTTAGCAGTATATACAACTTTTATTAAAAACAACAACAACAAAAAAAACTTTAGTAAAAAGAAATGTCTATATGGGAGGAAACTCAAAGATTTAGTTTTATATTATCAGATTTTATATTAGAAATTTTATATTAGCATACTAACACAATGTAATGGACTTTTTAAAAGACTTGCTTTAAGACAAGGTTTTATTTGCTTAATTCTATCATAGTAGCAGTTAAAATAAGTAGTCCAATTAATTTACTTACAACCCAGCTGTTTCTATAGTTGTATACTTCTCCAAGATGAAGGATGCAAATACTTCCTCCACAGCAGGAATAAGACCAATGCTCTTAGGCACATGGCTTAACTCTTACATTGTCCTGTGTGGAGTCAGGAGTTGGACTCGATGATCCTCATGGATCTTTACCAACCCTGGATATTCTGTGATTCTAAATTCCTTCCATTCACCTCCTACAGGAGTGCCTCTCTTTCACTATACTGGCTACCAAGGTCACCTAGGAAGAGCAGCTGGCTAGATCAGCTGTTTGCAGCTAGGTTGTGAATTGTTTTGTTTTTTTTTATATACCACATTTTATGCATTTGGGGTTTGCTTCCTTGAAAGATTCTTAGTTTTATGTAATGCTGCAAACAGTGTTCCTATAATGTTTGACAATAAATTCAGTTCCACATTAAAAAATGGTACTTTGCATTTGCATTGCATTCTTCATTTTATATTATAAGCATGACAGTACTTTCCAAGAGATTTTGCATACGTACATGAAACAACACCAGTAACTGTGATTGAGAAGGTTGCACGGATGAATTTAAAGATGAAAGCAATAGATGAAATAGATGAAAATAAATGCTAGGAGACTGTAGTAAGGTGAAAAAAAAGCACAATGAAACACTCCCAGTAAATGCTTTGACTCCCTTACACAGCTGCAGTTAAGTACCCATTACTGTAAAGCTGTGTAGACCACTTAATTTCTGTTAGTGTTGCAACACAAGACAGATGATTACAGCATTGATGCTTTCCTCATCTTTCTAGTACAATGACTCAACGTTTTTTCTTTTAGTTGGGAAAATTTAAAACATCTCCTGTATTCTCCAGTAAAAATACTGCATTGTGCCACAAGAATGGTTTGAAATGCTTTTAGCAACATGCTGGATTCATCTGTTTGGGGTGGCTGCTCTCAAACACAGCAGTAGTTCAACAGATATTTCCATCTGGGCTAGATTCCAAAACCCACCCTCACGCTGAGCATACCTTATTCAACAATTAGTTCCACTGACTGCAACTCAACATGAATAAGAGCAATGGAATTCGTCCTTCTCAGTATTAATACATAGCTCACTAAGTATGAACAGACCAAAACTGCTAGTTGAGTTATAAACTACATGGCTAGTAGGCAACGTTTGATATACAGCGGTCTCCTTTAAGAGTTGTTAACCTACAATACAGGCATCAGTTTCAAGTACTGAAGATCTTAAATGAATTCCAACAGGACAAGGAGCCCAACACATAAACTTTTCAGTGTGAGACTTACTTGCTGCTGCTTCTTCCCTGAAATATTGTCAGTCGTGCTTCTCAGAGGCTCTTCTCTCATTATCTTTGTAGCCAAACATGCCAGTACTCTTTCAGATTTTAGGCCTTTCTCTCTCTCTCCTGAAATACCTTCCAGATTCTGCCCGAAGAGACAATTCTTTTTAGGTAATCTCGCAGTCAGCTGTTTTCCCAGTGTATCTTCTGAAAAAGAAAAAATCAGGTACCGTAGATAACCAAAGCTTTTCTTGTTCATGTGACAAGGCTGTGAGGCACATGTGCCTGTGATCTCTTTGTCATCAGTACCTGTCTGCTGTGTACAGGATGATCCCCTCCATGCTTCGCAGTGCAGGAAGTACAACCTGCCACTCTTTTCTCAGCTTTGTTTCAACCATGCCCTGTGAAAATGAGATGAAGAGTCAGAGTAAAACAGGTATAAGGTCAACAGCATTTAGAGCAGCTGTACAGATACTCTTCCTCTGCTGAACGCTCGGTCATACATGCACTCTGTATCTGTTCTTGCAAAGCAAAGCCCAAATAATCCAGTATAGCCACAGAAGCATCACTGCAGTAAATATAGCATTCAAATTGGAAGCTCTGAAGAGACCTATTCTTTACTTAGAATTATGAGTTACAGCAACAGAGGCTTCCAAACAGGAATCAAAAGCGGTGTATTTCCAAATGCTGCCATAAGAAATTCCTGTGGTTGTAAGGAAAGGGAGCTTGCTGCTGTCTGCAACCAGAGTGTGGAATTCACTTCAAGTCTCTTGGAGAAGATCATGGCATATCCTTCCTCTTCTCCACTCTGGCCACACAACATTGAGAAGAGCATCTTGGAATACTGTTCTTTGCTTTTTTCTGGCCCACAACATCTTTTTGGACAAACCTATCCTTGGGCAAAATACTAGAAAGATAAATGGACTTTTGGTGCCAGCAGCAGGGAATGCATCCTCACAGAATCATAGAGGCCAGAAGGCCAGGGGAGATGATCTAGTCTAACCCCCTGTTAAAGCAGGTTGAAGCTGCTCAAGGGCAGCTTCACTGCAAGACAATTCTGAGCAGAATTCACCAGCTGGTCATGGCTTTCTCCTGACTTTTCCACTTAGGTGAGCTCATGCACTTACGAGCATTCATAGGCAATTACTGGCAGTCTCTCAGTATTGCCTGTCCAAGTCTCACCATCTGTTACCACTCTGCCCAAATTAACCACTACGCGTGCCAGTCCTCAAATGCCTTTTCCTGGTGTCCTGGGGTCAGATACAACCTAGATGCACACTCACAGTGACAGATTATGCTGTAGCTTTAGGTAAATATTAGCAAAATTAGCATTTCCACAAATTAAACCAATGACCTGAGGAAAGTTTCCGTGTTTTGAGTGGATCAGCAAGGCCAGCACCAGTGCTTGACAACCAATGCACAGCTGTTAAACCATACAACTATTTATCATTTTTACTTGTTTTGTCTTACTGTATACAAAACACTGTTTTGAATACAAATTATTTTTACTTTAGCTGTTCTGTAAAGGTTAAAACAAACATTCTGTTCTCTCCTTCCGTATCAAAGAGCCTCTACAATAACAGTAGAGTGTTTTCATGAGCTTGCTGCTCTGCCTCAGAACAGCTGGGAGATACACTTCTGCATGTGTAGGGCTGATTAATAGCTGCTCTCCTTGGGGTGGATTGTTTTTCAGCACTGGATGCAGTGAAAGAACAAACTTGTACAGAGTCCAAAACATCTACTTTAAAAAAAAAAATTGATCTTTGGGGTAATGACAGAATGTGACTAACAATTCTTATCTCTGTACTTCAAAACACGTAAGTAAGTAGAAAATGAGGGCTGCAGATTGGGAATTTTTGCAAAAATTGAATGATAGAACAGCAGAAGAACCCAGCATAGTGACAGCCCATCTGAGCTGCCACAGGTGTGGGGACCATGGGCCTGACCGCCAACTGATGCTCTGTCACCTTCTGAGATGCTCTCAGCTTTGCTGCAAGGGGGAGCTTTGCCTTTGATTTTAAAGGAGTAGGAATGTCACCAGCACTTATAACTGCAGAATGGAGGCTAATTTTAGCCTGTGGAATCCATAACTCCCTGAATCATAAAGTTAATGAAATCACACAGCTGAACTGCTGCAGTACTTCTGCATTGGAGAAAGACCCAAACTTCCCAGCTTAAGTGATATTCCAAACCCAGACTCCGGCAGCCTTAAGAGACATTACCAAAGCCGTCCTGCTCTTTCACATCCCCGACCGCCATGCCTATCGGCCCGAAGCAACACACCCGTATTGCACAAGCAATAGGGCCGCAGCGCCGTTACACTTGCAGCACAACACTACTCACGACGCGACGTCAATCTCTTCAACGGCTTTGGAATTAAGGTAAGCTGAGTCTCGAGCTCAAAGAGAAACCTGAAACGCAGATGTACACACTTGAGCCGAGGCGCAAAGAGTCACTTACTGTAACTCAGGTGTGTCACTGCAGAGACACGGCCGCAGGCTCAGCTGAGGAGCCACGCGCTTCCCGCAGTAGCCGTGCCCGCAGCGCGCTCGGACAAGCCTCGCCCTCCCGGTCAGCCCCGCGCCTCAGCCCGAGCTCCGATAGCCGCGCCCGAGCCCCGCCCGACACCTCGCGGCTCCGGGGCCCATCCTGCGGGCGCTGCGCTGCGGTTCTGACAGAACAGCTCCCGCCCGGCGTCACGCGCCCGGCCGCCGACGGAAGGCACGCGGCAGCAGCCCCTGCGCCTCGCTGCGGAGCGAAGGGCGCAGGGCTCCGCGAGCCGCCGGACGGGCCCGGAGCCTTTTCCCGCAGCTCCGACGGGGCGGTTCGCTCCCCTTCCCTCCGCTTCGCCGAGCTCCGCCGACGGCCGCGAGCCGCTACTCCCCCCTGCAGGCGGCCGCGCTGCGCCGCAGCCCAGACCCCGTCGCCGCTCTCGCCCCGCCGCCCCGGCTCCGTCGCGGACGCCCCCTCAGTTACCGCGCGGCCGCGGCCGTCCCGCCGGGCGAGGCGCGGGACTCCGGCACCCGCGGGCCGCTCGGCCCGAGCCGTGCCGCCGCGCGCGGCTCCCCCTCCCCACCCCGCAGGGGGCCGAGGCTCCGGGGGCTCTGTCAGCCGCGGCCCCCTCCCCGCCCCGCCGCGCCCCGCCCCGGCCCGCTGGGGGCTCCGGCATAAATACGGCCCCGAGCGGCGCTCCCGGGGTGGCGCGGCTGGAGAGGGGTCGGTAGTGGTGGTGGTGGTGGTAGTGGCAGCGACCCGCGCCGGTAGCCTCGCCTGGCTCAGGGTACGACGACCCCACTCCGTGCCCGCCTCATACAGCTGCCCTCGGGACCCCCCGTCCTCCCGACCGCCGTCCTGCCCCGCTCCGCTCCCAACCGCCCCCATGGACTTACTGGGCCCCATGGAGATGACGGAGGGCTCCCTCTGCTCCTTCACGGCCGCCGACGACTTCTATGATGACCCGTGCTTCAACACGTCGGACATGCACTTCTTTGAGGACCTGGACCCCCGGCTGGTGCACGTGGGCGGGCTGCTGAAGCCCGAGGAGCACCCGCACCACCATGGGCACCACCACGGGCACCCGCATGAGGAGGAACATGTGCGGGCACCCAGCGGGCACCACCAGGCCGGCCGCTGCCTGCTGTGGGCGTGCAAGGCCTGCAAGAGGAAGACCACCAATGCCGACCGCCGCAAAGCCGCCACCATGAGGGAGCGGCGGCGGCTCAGCAAGGTCAATGAGGCCTTCGAGACCCTCAAGCGCTGCACCTCCACCAACCCCAACCAGCGCCTGCCCAAGGTGGAGATCCTGCGCAACGCCATCCGCTACATTGAGAGCCTACAGGCCCTGCTGCGCGAGCAGGAGGATGCGTACTACCCGGTGCTGGAGCACTACAGTGGGGAGTCAGATGCGTCCAGCCCTCGCTCCAACTGCTCCGATGGCATGGTGAGTGCCCCGGGCAGGAGATGAGGTCCTTCCTCCTTGTAGTCCAGCAGCAGAGGGAGGCAGGGTCCCCACACACCAGGTCTCTGGGAAGAGAAAGGAAATCTGTTAGATTCCTGGGAGGAAGGTTAGGCAGTCCCTGTGTGCCTGGGAGCTCTGTGGGAGGTTGCCTGGGAGCACATGGTCCCTGGGCACCTTTGATTTCATGCTCTGCTGTCTGTTCCTCGAAGGACAGCAGTGAGGCAGCTCCCCTTGGGTGTGGGAATTGCAGAGGAAAACACGCAGGGCAACCGATCAAGTCTAAGGTTTGTTTTCTGTCATTCATCAGGATAACAAGAGGATGGCCCAAGTAGCGGGAGTTGTTTTCCTTGACCCTTATGAAGAAGGCCAGCTTTCCTCTCACTTGATCCCTCTGCAGACATTTACTGGCAGCAGAAAAAAGAGCCCAGGCTTAGAGCCTTGGGTTATGGGGAGAGGACAAGGGTGGCTGCAGGACTGCTGCCGAGAATGGGACCACAAGAGCACTTCTGGGATTTTTTTCTGTTTTCTAGTGGGGTTAATAATCACTGAGCTGAGTACTTGGGACTGTGAAACAGTTGGCAGATGGGAGAGAGTTACAAATGTCCCCTCTTCAAAATACAGCCTTTTCATCGTAGATTCACATATTGACCACACACATATTGGTCAGGGTTTAGCGGTTTTTCTTTACAAAACCAGAGTAGGAAGAGAAACTGAAAGAAATCCGAAGGTAGAGTAGTGGCTTTCTCAGAGGAAAAGTGGCTTTCTCATGTTTGGGAAACTCTTTCAAAGTTAGATCAAAAGAATCCCTTCCTCTCTTGAGTTGCTTTTTCTAAACTGACCACAGGCATACATGAGACTGCTGGAAAACCTCATCTCTGATAAAACCACAGCGTCAGTCATAGGGATGGTGGTAATTTCCCTTTGGAACGAACACGACACATAAATATTCTAGTGTAAATCCATTCCTTTTTTTTAGTTAATTCTGTCTGCTTCATTCTACAACACGAACTTGACAGCATTTTGGCTGAGAGTGATGGCACAGATTAGCCACTGAAATACAAAATCAGATGGCTCCTGGGACCTGTGGAATAGGCAGTCCCCCAGCCTCACTCAGATTATTCTCCTTTCTAGATGGAGTACAGTGGGCCGCCTTGCAGCTCTCGCAGGAGAAACAGCTACGACAGCAGCTACTACGCGGAATCACCAAATGGTGAGTATCTCCTGTTGAGAATATGGCTGTGTGAAGCATGGAGGATGGGGGCAGCCAGTGGCCTTCTCTGTCCCCAGTCACTTAGCCAGGCTGGAGAAGGAGCCTGACTGTCCAGCCAATGAGTTGCTGATGCTGGCAGAAGCACTGGATTTCATGTAAATGTATTTGCAAGTATAGGGGATATGTTAGAGCTGCATTTCCTGTTTCGCAAATAGAGCATGTAGGTATACATCCCTCTCTGCGACTGATTTTTAGTCTTAACCCCATTTTGCGTGAAGCCTAATACCTGTTCTAACCAGGTATCATTAATCCAAACTGGAGAGATGCCTGACAGAATTCCAATCTTCCATTCCCTTTCTGAAGACTGAATCCACCCTCCCTGAGTAGCAGCGTGTTTCACTTGGGTCTCTTCTCTGTTTCACAGATTACAATTCCTTTCCTGACAGCTGGCACCCTTCACTCATACTCATTTCCTCTGATTTCTTGCATGCTCTCAGACACGTACTTCAGCCGCTTGCTGGGGTTTTATGAAAGATCTACATCTTACAATTTAAGTACACAGTGGATAAATGGATCACATTTCTCTTTGTTTTTAGACCCAAAGCATGGGAAGAGTTCCGTTGTTTCCAGCCTTGACTGCCTCTCAAGCATTGTGGAGAGGATTTCCACAGACAACTCCACATGTCCAATACTGCCTCCAGCTGAAGCTGTTGCTGAAGGGAGTCCCTGTTCCCCCCAGGAAGGAGCAAGCCTGAATGACAGTGGAGCCCAGATTCCTTCCCCCACCAACTGCACCCCACTTCCCCAGGACAGCAGCAGCAGCAGCAGCAGCAGCAATCCGATTTACCAAGTGCTATAAAGGCAGGTCCAGCCGGACTGTGCCGAGAACAAATTGCTCCATTCAGCCAAGCTCCAAGACTTGCCTTCTAAAGCAGAAGGGACTTCAAGACTTGTTTCAGTTTTAAAATATCATGCAAAATTCCTTCTGTAAGTTTTCAAACCTGTACTACTACAGAATACACTTAGTTATTTATTGGTTGCTAAACTAAAGTTATTTAATATGTCTAGAGATAAAAGCGTATACGGGGAAATGGCCAATGTTAAATTTGGGCTTTGGAGAATAGGAACCTGGCTCTTGAATACGGAGGAAAAAAGAAATCTACAACAGCAGTGGCGTGACAGATCCTTCTTCTTATTACCCCTGTTCTGGCCAAAATAAGGTTGTGGACCATTTTTTATAAAACTTTTTGTATAATTGTAAATAAGAGTTGCTTTGCAAAAAAAAGGAAAAAAAAGAAAAAAAAAAGAAAAGAAAAAAGGAAAAAAGAAAAAAGAAAAAAGAAAAAAGAAAAGAAAAACAGAAGAAAAAGGGGAAAAAAAAAGAAAGCTAAAATTAAAAACAAACATAGGAAAAAATAAAAATATATATATTTAATGTTGCTTGGTTTGTTGTGCCAAACTTTAACTTTATATATTTATACGATGTGATTGCCAAGAATGTCTTCAACAGTATTCTAAATAAAGACCCTTATTTATAAAATCTGTGGCATTATCTTGACTTTCATTAGAGCTTCTAGAGTTACTGGTGCATTTAGGAACGGTGTTAAGATCGCTGCCTTGGCAGGAAGAAGACACAGGCTCTGATTCAGCAAAGAAATCAAGTGCTTGCTTCAGCTGTGCCACTTTCAGTTAATTTGTGCAAAGACATTGCTGAAAAGGGGTTGGCTTTCTTCCTGTGGTATCCTAGTGATTTCTAAACCAAGTCTTACACATCAGTGGTCTTCACTAAGAAGGTCTGTGAGGTAAATAAGCACATTTACCTCACAATTACATGATGAGAGCTTAGAAAGCTGTAATAGAAGTGGGAGTCCTAATTAATTAAACTCTCCAGATTCCATTGCAGCTACTATGAATTAAAGCCTTACGACAATATTTTGCAAGATCAGGAACTACATTCCCAAATACTCAGATTTTCCATGTAAGATCTAGTTTTAGGTGACTTTACCATATTCATATACACTCAGGCATTAGAAAACACTTAGAAGTCGCTTTCTGTCACAAAGTTCAAGGTACAGATCACAGTTTTCCTCAAGTTCAGGTTGGAATTTAAGCCCAAGATTGGCAGTTTTAATTTGGATTTGAACTTTAAGCATCTCTGGCAGCACTGCTCCAGGGATTTGCTTCTTGTTTAGAGCCTCTCTAAAAATAACCGGTGGGGTATGTTTCATTCAGTGTATATATGTAACCTTGCAAGCTTGTCACAAAACTGAAAAACATGAAGCTCTGAGCAGATTGTCATTGATAAGCAAGTATCAGGGTGTATCTGTACATTTGGACAGTTGCTGAAGCCCACACACAACAACCTGATCCTTCTCATATCCCTATGACTTATGGCTCTTGTTTAAACTTCACAGAGAAAAGAACAGCCAAACAAATAAACAGATACCATCATCAGCTCTGAGCATTTGATGACAGATCAGTCACTGTATTCCCCCTTAGGTGATTATTACTGAAGGAATTAGTGCAGCTTGTACCTCTTCAAAAGGAAGAAGGAAGGAACAACTCATGAGCTCCATCGTGCATGTGGCGGTGACCACAGTGGATGACGAATGGGGGCACAGAGGACATAGTGCTGCTGTGTGGGCACACCAGGCTTGACTGGTCAGAGAGGCTGGGGCAGGGCTGCCCTCTCGGCACCTTAACCAACATCCAGCTTTGTAAGAGTCTCCTGTTGGCTTCACTGTGGGCAGAAAACACAGTCCAGCTTGTAAAAGTTCAGCTTTTCCCTTTTTTATTCCCCTTATTTACATTCATTTTTTCCCCCTAAAAATAAGAATTAAATGAATTTCAGTGTTCTAATTCACACTAGCATGAATCAGGAGCAACTGCTAAGATCAGAAAAAAGTCCCACTTTAGTCTGATTGGAGGCAGTGTCATTGACTCACAAAAACTAAAGAAACACAGTCAGATCCCCGCAAATCAGAGCTTCCCATATAGATGATAAGTCCATTGCCTCCAGTGAACAATCAGGCCCATATGGAAAAGATGCTACTGAAAAGTACTATAGACCTTGCCATCCCTGTGCTCTGGGGCTGGTGAAAGTGTCATGAATTCAAACGTACAGGCACAGTAATGGCAATCAAGAAATATTTTCCAGAGTCAGGAACTAAGAAGATCCAACTAAGAAGCACAAAGCTCACCCCTGCCTCACTCTGGGACCCCATGGGGTACAATAGGAAGCACCATGGGTCCAGCTGGCATGGCACAGCGGACACAGAGTGCTTGTGCTCAACAATGTACATGCAGTTCTATGCGAAGTCATGTATATTGCATTTCACTGATTTATTTTAGCAACCCAAGTTTCCACATACTGATGTTAATGTTACAACAGAGAGCAAGCATTTAGCACATCCCAAAATAGATGGATGGATAAAGAAGAAAAAAGTATTCCTAGATTTACTGTGCAGAGCCCATCTTTTTCCCACTGATGTCAGTGAGAGAAATCCACTGGAGTAAGGCCAAGGGGCATCAGTGCTGATAAACATACCTTTAGATTACAGCAGTATTTATTTTTCAACTTAAGAAAACGCGTGCATTTTTTCACGTCTGTTTCTAAGGTGATATATTTAAAATAAGTGCCTGAAGTTACTCCATGCATCAAGGGGACGGCACATTGCTAATACAGCCCTGCCAATGTGGAAACATTTCAAAGTTGGACATCATTTGGACTCAGAGCTTTGTTTTGGTGGTGACATGGGACACAGGCAGAGCAGAGAATGGGCACAAGGCTGACCCAACATTTGCAAATGTTGCTTCCTTAATTGGGATCCATTATCATCCCAGTTAGGATCATGTAGGGATCATCCTGCAAGACAGAATGCAGTCTAGCTTGACCTACAGGAACACACAAGTGTGCACTACACACACCAACACTCTGAAGTCATCAACTTATAGTACAATTCTGAATCAATGTGCTGCAGGATGGGAAAGACCAAAAAGGACTGAATCTGGACAACTGTACTGACATGCCGAGCTTGGGGAGAACTGAGGACTCTGCAAGCCTGAGTCCTCATTTATCCAAGCTGATTTGACAAGACAGGACAGGGCCAGACGGAACGTGGGTGGAAAACTTTTCAGTGAAGGTTTTAGAGCTGTCTGGCATTTCCCATGGAAGGCCACCTCTAAGGAAAAGTCAGCAAACTACTAATAATTAAAGGAAAGCAGCTGTTCTGAATGTGAAAAAATATTAAAATATTTTATCTTCTGTATCTAACACTATTAAATAAATACAAAGTGGGCAATTGCCTTGTATCAGTGCTGCTCTTTTAGAATGACTTGTTATTTCAAAGACATGATAGGCATTGCTGAATGTGGAAGGGAAGGGAGTTTTCATTTTACAGATTGCATTTTGCAGAGATATTTCAAAGGTTCAAATATTGCAAAGGGGAGAGCTGGCTCATTCTACTCACAGAATTGGTATTAACATCTCCAGAAGAACATCATCCAAAGGTGAACCTTTGGATCATGTGCTTTCCTGTAAATCTCTTCCACAGCCAAGACCTTCCCTCAATGGCCTGTGCAGAGCCTGTTGTACACCTGGGAATGTTGTTGAGTAGAAACTTGTGGTTTGACAGTCAGTAGTCGAGATTCAGGGCTAATGGCACGAAATGAGTCCTAGTGTCATACAGAAGAGCCTCCTTTGCCTTTTCCCACCAAGGTCTCACCAGGAGTTAGCAATGTCTGACAAAGCTATCTGAGCCAGCAGAAGGAGCCTAGAGACATCCCTATGGGCAAGACCCAGAAATAAAACTTTCACATATGTAGACACTTCTGAATAACATCTGAACAATGTAAGTTAATGAATGCTGATCTACCCTATAACCACAGAGTTACAAAAAACCTCAGGGTCTTCCCAGTAATACAGTTGGCATGACACTAAGCTCACATTTCTTTCTAAAACATCACCAACTTATCTTCCTCGTGGGTCTTATCAACATCAGATAAGACTCAACAAATAATCCTATATTTATCAACAGGAAGGAAAATGCTGCCTGTGAAGTGAAGCTTTCCATTACTTATATGAAAATGCATTAAAAACTGACAACCAATAACCCACTTCATCAGAGAGAGGGAGGGAGGCTGTAATGGCAGTGGGTTTGGTGCTTTGGTTGTTTTTTTTTTTGTTTGTATTTATTTTTTTTTTTGCTTGGAATCAGATTGAATTATTCAGAGTTCTGGGGCTCAGCACAGTCACCTAATATTGCAAGCACATGGTTGTGAGATGGGTCTCCCAGTCTCTACGAACCAGATCTGAGGGGCTGAATAACAACCTGGAACTGCAAAAGCCCTCTGAAGCACAGGTTCTCCCTAATCCACTGAAACTGACCTTGAGCTGTTTGGTTTTCTTTGTCCAACAGCAGCATCTGCTGGACACCGTGCAAATTGCAGTTATTTCCGAAATCCCTTTCGGTGAGTTCAACGTTCTGTTTTCTCATCTTTTCAGTAACAGGTAATCAATAGGTGGGGAAACAGCAAAAACAGTCACAGCCTTCATTCAGCACCTGAAACCCCATAAACCAGGAACAACATGTTGGAAAAAGTCAAGTATTTCATTACCAAAGAGGCTTCTAAGGAGAGAGAGTTAAAAAATTGAAGGAATAGCTAGGTTTTTGTCTATTAATGCACAAATTTGGGAAAAGCAGCCTATTTTCATTTGGTTTATTTATGTGAAAAAGAAGACAAAAGGAAAGAGAAAAGGTTTGAACTCACTGCGCAGTAGAGATGTCAGAAGTGCTGGGGGAGACTGTTTACATAACAGAAGGCACGTGCACAAGAGCAGGAGGTGGCAGAAGGATTGCA